CAATCTCTCATTTTCTGTACTTCTAAGAATAAACAGCAACCCTATCTTTTGGTGCCTGAAGTAATTAAGAGAACCACGTAGGATGAAGGAAGAGAAGACTACAATTAACAGAACTTCAGGGAATTATTTCTCTTCCTGCATTGCCTTTTCCTGATACTATAAATAACAACATTACATCATGCTGACAAGGCATGCTGTTCAAATACAAGAGGCAGGCTTGCCCTTCAACAGATGCAAAGAAACGCTGCTCCTAAATAGCTCTGATAATGTCAGCACAGCACAGAGGAGGGAACAGGGCCAGCGGCCCTCTGTGCATGGCTTTCTGCACCGGCTCTACTCTCTCCCACCCCAGCAGGACTCCCCTCTCTGGTATTTTCTGGTAAATAAATCACCAACAGTAAGTCAATGCCCATCTTCTGTTCCTGCCACAATCATGCACTGATGGGCTAAACATGCACATAGCCCTCTCACTTCTCCTGTGGGGCACCAATGAAAAATGTCATTGTATCTTTTTTTTTTTTTTTGAGAGGTTTTTGCTATAGGGCGCGTACGCTCGCCAGATAGAAACAGAGAGACAGAAAGCAAGAAATCACCCCCCAGGGGGGATGGCCACGCCACAATCCCTTCTCCTCCATTCTCCTCTCGGGATCTTGGGCACGCATACACACGCGCCTGGCGTGAGTTTTAAGCCACCAGGTCCCGGACACGAACCGCGGTCGACTACGTGGGAGTCCAGCGACATAGCCATTATGCTAACTGCTGGTCCCAAAATGTCATTGTATCTTAATAAAAGTATACAGAGAAGGCACGTAAGTCGATTTGAGAAAGGTACCCAGTTGATGACACCCGAACTAACGAGTAGGCAAAAGTCCTGAGAGAGAACACAGGGCTGGATGTGCTAAGGAAGCCTTCCGTACAGACTTTGTAGGGCAGAGAAGAGGAGGGGAGGACCTCCACCATCCTGGAAGGCACTGGGACACTAGGGTGACAGGCACATGGTGGAGTATAGGTCAACCATCAAAGCAGTCCCTGCAGGCACAGCTCATGGAGGGGAGGAATGCATCCAATCACTGCATCTTTTTCTGCAGAAAGTGGGTGAGGGAAGGGGCAGACAGGCAGCTTCAAATCAGAGCAAGATTATATAAGCCAAGTTCCAGAAGCAGGACTATATCTACTTTACCATCTAAGAGTCACTAGTCTTTATGAAATGGGAATTGTTCGATTCTTGATTCCTGACAGACTGAAGCAATCAGTTCATCTGGTGTTTACAATCGAATATTGCAGCTAAGGCAAACAGCCCGACACATTATTTTTATGCATGGATATGTGTACATCTATATAAAGATACATGTATATGATATATGTGCACATGGCACATACTATGCACACATACATATGAACATAAAAGATAAAATTCATGATAACTTCATCAGGAGGAGACATTCACCGCAATGTCAGCTAAGGCCGTAACAAGAGACAGCGGTGAAGCCACCGCAACGAGGTTTATGCAAGTGGCACAGAAGTAGAGCGGTTAGAGAAACCATCCTTCCATACGGATTCTGAGCAGTCTCAAACAACTAAGGGCAAGGGATGCAAAAGCTTCGTAATGACATTAAAAGAGAAAGCGGACAATTTCACATGATTTGAACTGACCAGGACAGGAAAATGAAACTGATCAGCACATATTGAGCTAGTCACCCCATTGGAGAGCAAATGTACACAAAAGCAGCTGTTCACATTGATTTTTGAGATTCTGAGTCCTGCAAAGTCCAAGTCATACACGGTACTTGCCTGAACTCGAGCCTCCAGATCTTGGACTGTGAGTGTGCTGATACCCTCTCTCTAACCTAAATGCTCACCAAAAAGAAAAAAAGATTCCATGCTAGCAAATTCATTGACTGAACCTTGAGTGTTTTCATAAACTGTTGGGATCTCAGAGGCCTTATGAAAAGCTCTCAACAAAAGCCCATCATTGTCTCCCTGGGCAGAGTTTCTCATCTGCAAATGAAGGATGCCACTATCTGCCACACGTCCCGGCCTACACTCATGCTTTGGAAGATTAATGAAACGCTGGTGTCTGGGCACCTTGAGGATAATGCCAACCATATTTCAAGTTAGCCCTAAAATCCTTTCATTCTCTGGGCCTTTGGGAAAAGGCGAAAAGAAACTGCTTCACGTTTTGCTTGGCCCTATGGCTACTAAACAAGAACAGTAATAGATCTTTTGTTCTTTTTCGTAAGCCTGAATATCAGTTAAGTAGCTTGTTTAAGCTACTTCAGGGTGAAGGAGTTCTAACCATCTACTGTCTGTACTCTGATCACAAATATGTACTTCAAAAGAGAATGATATTTCCGAGTGCCACAGTATAGGCCCTGTACCTCCAGAAACCATATTTATGAGAATCTTGCATTGTAGTTGTGACTTCCTTATTGCTAGAACCATCATTGTAATAATGAATGACCACTTCCTTCATCATTCACTCAGTCCCCTAGAGAAATTGACCACTTCCTTTCAGCATTCACTCAGTCCCGTATTATAATTGTGGCACAAAATAAAATCATGCCAAATTAAGTTTCTTTTAGGGGGAAACATTGTAAGTTTAACTAAGAGTTAAGCACTTCTGCTTTAACATGAAAAATGAACTCAAATGGCAAATAGAAAAATATAAATCCTGACTGCTACATTTCTGTTTAATAGCTTCAAAATCCAATTTTGTCAATGGAGTAAAGAGAACGAATCCTTTTGAATTCTTTACTTTTCGTTTTTACTTTTTACTTTTTTTTTTTTTTTTTTTTTTTTTGCTATAGTGTACATGTGCTCTCTGGAGAGAGACAGAGAAAGAGGGAAAGTGAGAAATCATCTCCCAATGGGATGATTATATTGCTATCCCCTCTCCCCCTTTCTCCTCTTGGGATTTTGGGCAGGGATGCACATGGGCCTGGCATGTTTTTTAAGCCTCTGGGTCCAGGACTCAAACTGCACAGTTGGCCATGTGGGATCCAACACCTTAACTTCCACGCCACCTGCTAGCTCAAGAGAGAATACCAGTAAGTGCCTAATGCAAAGGGGCCTCATTGCTGTGCTGCACACAATTCTAGACATCAGGCTCTAACTCCCTATCAGCAACTCTAATAGTATTGTCTTGTTCAAAGCTATTAAAATGTGTAATGCCTGCCCTTTAAGAAACTTAGATCTAAGAAAATACTCTTACTGTATCCAACTTTCATTTCAGAAATGTCACTGAAGTATCTTTGTCAACTTAAAGTGACTGTGTATAGTGTTATTTCCCCGTGGGTAAACCCAATGGAGTAGAGAAACAGTAGCCTGAACATCTTTCCCTGCAAATACAAATAGTGCCCTAACCCTGGGTTTGAAAGAAAACAATACTAACAATTAGACTTGATTGCACAAGAGAAAGATTAGAACTATCTGCTTAAGAGCAAGAGAAGAAAGGGAGAAACACAACCAAAGGCTCAAAAGTCTGATGCAAAGAGAAACAGTTTCAAGATAATGAGAAGAAAAACAACTCGGACATGGGTTTAATAATTCAGACCTTGCTGAGCTTTCTGTACTATGTTTCTATTGCAGATTATGAGCATAATCTCTAAAATTCATCTTTCGTATATAAAGGGGTTGGAGATTTTAAATTAGAGAATTACTCTGCAGAGCCATCAGATTTAAGGAGCCAACCACTTCATGAAGAGAAAAAATGATGGGGAAGTAACAGATTCCATTACCAAAAAAATAAAGGAAGGAAGGAAGGAAGGAAGGAAGGAAAGAAGGAAGGAAGGAAGGAAGGAAATCCCTGTGCCCAAGAATGCATTCCTGGGCAAAAATCTTAAGTCCTCATAGGATTTGGGGTTTGCTGGGGGCTCACTTCTGTCACTTGCTTGGTTACCTGGAGGACAGATGTTAAAACCTTAAATTGACTCACTGGTAACCACTAGTAAGAATATGGATGGGGGACCCACCATAACAGCCACCTTCTTTCATGGGTATGATTAATTTTAACTTTCCTATAAATCCTCGTGCTCTCAAGCAAACACATAAAATAATAATAATAATAATAATAAAATAAACAAGGGGAAGCAGAGCTCTTCCAAAGGCCAGGGCATGTTCCACGTTTGGAGTGACACAACCTGGCTCACTCACTGGGTAAGCTCAGAAGGCTACTTGTCCTCTTAAATCTGTTTTTCTTTTCTACAACACATGGACAACAATTGTATATTTATGTTCTGAGAACTGAGTGGCATGTATAAAGTTTGCATGGTACCAGGACAAATTTAGCCTGTGAAAACATGATAAAAGCTACCATTATTTCGGGACCAGCAGATGGCATAATGGCTATGTTGCTGGACTCCCATGTAGTCAACCACAGTTCGAGTCCCGGACTCGATGGCTTAAACTCATGCCAGGTGCGTGTGCATGTGTGCCCAAGATTCTGAGAAGAGAATGGAGGAGAAGGGATTTCAGTGTGGCCATCCCTCTGGCGGGGGCTGGGGGTGGTGATTTCTCGCTTTCTGTCTTTCTGTCTCTCTCTGTCTTTCTGGCAAGTGCACGCACCCTATAGCAACTCCCCCACCAAAAAAAGGCTACCATTATTTCAAAACTGATGCTGCCCTGATATGTAAGGCATTTGCTTTTGCAGAAATTGTTAGCCATGATCAAAATTTAGTAGATAATTGACAAATATTTTATTTTGTGTTTTTCAAATAAGAGACTTAATAATGCTCATATGCCTTAAGCTTGAACTACACCAATTCTGTCTCATTACCAATGAGGACTTTTACCCCAGTTTCACCCACATCTCCAGAACAGAAGGTAACTGACTAACATCCTGGGTTTCTGGAAGATATTTCCTTAGCAATGATGCAATGAGAAGCAAAAGAACAAAATGTTCCTGGGCCTGTGACATTCTGGCTCCTTTTATATTGGTCCCCTAGCAAGAATGAAAGATTTGTGTATCAGAGGCTTTTAGAGAGATGAGGAAGGCACAGTACCTCTAATCGTTGTATCCGTCCCTTGAAAAACATAAAGAGGGAAGAATTGGGATATGCAGCTTCTTTTTTGAGAAGAATTTCCTTAGCTTCATCCAGGCCTGCTTTGTTATCACTGCCATCCAGGGCAAAAAATGGGCGGACTACTGTGTGATACCAGAGTAAAGCTAATCTGAAGGAAAGAAGAGAGAAGCAGTGAGCCAATGATTTTTCTTACATTGGTTCTATTTTTAAAATAAGTAGTATGTACTCTTCTGACACACAGTCTTCCCAAAAAGCTTACTATGCAGTCTTTGAAAAAATAAAACAAGAGTATTTTTCTTCTTAATTCTGTCACTATTTAGGAAATTTCAACTTTAGCATGATATATACAACTTTACCACAATGTACAGTTAAGCACACTCCCTTCCATCAGGTGAGAGGGGAATAAGGTCTTGTAAATGTTCTGAACCTTCTAGGCAGATCACTGAAGACAGGCTTAGTAGAACTCTGAATTCTACACCTGAATTCTACATCAATGTACAAATTAGAAACTGTAACCAGTTACCATGAAGTTACTACTTCCTCAGAATAAAAGTTTTACTTTCTTGCAAAAGGAGGAAAAAAAAATGTTTATAAAAGTTAGAGCATCAGTCTCAGAATTCAAATTTAAATTTAAAAATCACAGACACAAATTACACTAAGTTAAAATAAGTGAGAGGACCTGATTAAGGGCCTTTTCTCTCGCTTTAGAAGATACTCAATTTAAAAAGCAAAAAATAAATTACTTAAAATTCCCTTACTTCAAACTCATTACTTTCAAGAAAAAGGCATGTTAAACTAAGTAAACAAAACAGATTCATTGGTATTTGCTTTAATGAACAAAAATGGTTTAATCTACATGTCAACTATTTTATGCAAATGCACACGTCTAGTGCATTCATAAATTTGGTACTCTTAGGAATTCATAACTAAGTTAATTATTCATTCCATTCATACCTTTCTCAGAGCTGAGCACAAAGTAATATTAAGATATAAACAGATCACAAATGATCACAAGTTACAAATCTGTTAATTAAACTGAATGAGGAATCACTGTAATTTAACATATTTGGAGAGCCATAATATTTTCAAATAAAAAATTAATAATATTAAGTTTGGAAAGACATAATATTTTCAAATAAAAAATTAATAATATTTTAAGTAGCTTTTAACTAATTAAGAGTTAACACCTAAGTTTCTCAGTAATGAAATAAGTAAAAATAGAGCTTAAATCTTCCATGATATCTACATTTTTTGGAAAATTTAGACAAGTGGTAGAATGTTAGGCAAAGAATATTTGATGTCTGGTAAAATGATTCAAATCTGATCAAATTACTCAAATAGTAGATATTTGGCAGATTGGGAAAAAAATCACTTTTAACCAATCTAGAAATGAGAGAATCCTGGTTCTAGATAGTTACACTGGCTTTCCCATACTCTCCCGTTTACAGAACTGCCATTTAAGTTCAGACTGAACAACATATGGCTCATTTTAATGCAACAGCACAAGACAGTCCTGCCACACAAAAGAAACCAACTAGAAACATCGAGGAAAATTATCCAGCCTGAGGATCCTTTATACAAACAAATTTCAGAACCACTTATCTCCTAAATCCAAAAAATCAGGATTGTAAATCTCAGTGACAGTGGTCAAGATCATAAAAATTACTAATGAGATCATTTGAGGTTGAAAGAAGGTCACTTAACCTGTTTAGAATACAAACCTCATGAACTTAAGAACCGTGCCTTGTTCTGACTGAAGTCAGTTTATAACTATCATCAGTACACATTACAGAACACAGTCCTTAATGTTGCATTAAAAAAACAAGGCACAGCCAACCACACGTTTTACCTGAAGTTTCCTTCAGTCTTTGTTGTTTACTTACTTTCAACACTATATTATCTACCAAAGCATTGCAATATAGCTACTCACGTAGCTAAAGGGGCCTTCATGTCCTTACTTTCGCTTGCATACATCAGTGAAGAAAGCCCCTGTAGGCGGTCTCCAGGAAAACCCAGCAGGTTGATGATTTTGAGCAGGTTTGGGGGCACCATGGATATGCAAAGGTGAAAAAGGCCATATCCAAAGCTAACAGCACCTTTCAGTCTGTTTAGAGACTCCTCAGACACCCCTTCAGCCACAATGTGATTATCATTTGCAGCGTCAGAAGTCAAGGGTTCTTCAGTTAGCTTCTTCTGATACAGCTCCTGAAGGGCATTGATGTCCAAATAGCATTTATTATAAATCTTCCAGGCTTTCCTGAGGATCCACCCACCTTTAATATATGCTACAAAGAGAAGGGGAGAAAAGCATTAGAGAAAAAGAAGCACTCAAAATAATTTTTGTATTTGAGTAGTAAGCAAGCAAAAATTTAAAAAAAAAAATCCATCATCTATCATTGCACCATTTTCTTCATAATGCTTACTAAAGTTTCTCATTTGTTCTTGGTCTCCCTTTGCTATACTGTATGGCCACTGGAAAGAACCGTGTGATTTTTTTTTTTCTCGTTGTAGCAAGCCTCTCATGCAGTAGCTAAGGCACTATATATAATATATACTGAATGAATGAATGAAAGAGAGAGAAAGAGAGCAAGCATCACCGGAATCTAGCTTTTTTTCAAGTGTTCTTGAAATTTATCCATGAAACAATTTACCCATGGAACCCTCCACAATTGTCTCAAATACTATGGTAGTTCCCTGAGAAGCCTCTTTTATATAATAACCCTTGCGTGGTTTACCCTGTGCAGTTCATTCTCCCTCTAGAGCAAGTTGTTAGTAGTTCACCATCAAATTGCTACCTAACCCCAGACATGCCATCTTGACAAAAATAAATAAATAAATAAAATAAGGAAAAAAGAAATGGTTGACATTTACCGGATAAACAAACAGCCAGCTTATCGCCAAACAAGTCATTCATATTAAATACAGACATGCAAAGAATCCCCAGCTACCTCTATCCATGCCCCTTGTAAGGAAGGCTTTATTTGATCTATGGTAGTGGCACTCATTCACAGCCCCAGCGGAGGGAAATACACAATAAAAGTGTTACCTCACTGTGAAAGAATAAATTATTTCATATACGGGATGACTATCTGTTGTTTTTAAGTAATTTCTGTTATTTCCCACTAGGCCGCTTTTTCTTTACAAAGCCCCCTTGAGAACATGTCCCACATAGAAGACTTCAGGGACAAGAGGTAAGATGTGGGATTTAGGGCTGGTGTGTGGTACAGTGGTTAAGGGAGATGGATCCTACATGGTAGACATGAGGTTTGAATCCTGGCCACAGTGGCTTGGACAATGTGCTGGTTATATATGCATGTGTCTCCAAAATCCTGACAGAAAGGAGGTATGGAGCAAAAAGAACTGTGGTACAACCATGCCCTGTTGGGGGGTGCTTTCTCTCTCTGTCTAGAGAGTGAACCTCTGATGATGGGGGAAAAAAAAGACATGGGATTATGGGATTTACCTTTCTCCATGCCCACCTGGCCCTCTCAGACAGGCTGCCCTGATCCTGCTGCCCCCTCTCCCTGTGAGCATTTTCACATTCAGATGAGTGGGGAAGGAAGAGAGGAGGACAATTTATCCATGGTTGAGTTCATCATCACCACATTTTTTTTTAAAAGTTTATTTATTTCTTTCTTGTGTAGGAGAGAGAGAGAGAGACAGATAAACACACACACACACACACACACACACACACACACACACAGAGGTACCCTCAACAGTGTCTCACACCATAATCCTCCACCTAGCCCTGCAGCCTGCCAGGATCACAGGCACAGACCTAGCGTGCTCAGGTAGACCTTGCGATGAGAAACCAGGGTCTCTCCACATGGTTCCACAGCATGCAGTAGCATCCCTGTCATCTGAACCACCTCTGCCAAGCCCATGCTCACATTTTTAAGAAAAGGTTCCACAGGGACTTTTCTACAAAGTGAAGTTCTCTCATATCTATAGGAAAGTTTATCTACTTGGCATTGTTATGAGTATGGTATACCAATAATCTCCCATCTCTCCCTCCTGTCAGGACTTTGGGTATACACGCACAAGTGCCTAGCATGTTTCTCAAGCAGCTGGGTCTGAGACTTGAATTGTGCAGTCAGTCATGTGGGATCCAGCCACCTTAACCATCAGACCATGGGCTGGACCTACTGATTAAGTTTCTATGCTGTGCCTAGGACTGTGCTTGGCATCTGAAGGGCACAGAACAACCATAAAACATAACCTCAGTCCTCCAAATGTCCACAATAAATTAGAAAAGAAAATGTAACATAAATAAAAATAAGCATGAAACATGAAGACAACTTATTTATTTAAGTGCTCTGCTGCATTATATGTAGATAAAGTAAAAACAAATAATGCTGAGATTTGCAGTGAATGGTTTTTCTTTATTTCCTTTTTTGTCATTAAATTGTTTTCTATATGCATAAATAAATTATAAAGTACAAAATAAGCATTGTAAGATATTTTTAAATAATTATTTTATTTAACTTTATTTATCAATTTATTTATTTTAATTTGACCAGATAGGGATATAACGAGAGAGAGAGAAAGTGAGAAGGCAAGCCACCAGGTCTGGGACTCAAACCATGGTCGGACATGTGAGAATCTAGCGCCCTCAACCACCATGCCACCTGCTGGCCCCAGCATTATAGGATTTTGATTAAGAAACAAAAACTTTACTCCTCCCCACCCTACCCCTCGGAGGGAAATATTTGACTCCATTTTATCCTGTATTTTCCATGCTGCCTCAGCTGTAATAAAGGAAGTAGAGCTTCAGTTCAGGGAAAGGCAGCATTCCAGGAGAGGAGCATGATGGGAGTGCAAAGGAGCAGATGGGCATGCTGTGCAGAGGCAGAGTGAAACAGAGGACACACTGGGACAACGGGGTGAGAGTCCAGCTGAGGAATGACAGCCTGCTGTGGGAGAGATGGGAATTACCATAAAGGAGGTGAGGGGCCTAGGGGTAGGAAAATTAGTTTTAACAATTCAGATCTCAGGTGGAAAGCTGTAGAAAAGGAAGGTAGCAATGGAAATAAACATGAATTCATCAACTGTTGACTGCATGAGTCTCAGTCAATAAAATGTCATAAAAACATGGTAAAAACTCCATTTAGGGGCAGTAGGTAGTGTAGTGGTTACAGGACTGGATTCCCACATGGTAGACCATGGTTTAAGTCCTGGACCTGGTAGCTTGAAAATAATGCAGGGCGTGTGTGTATACGCATGACCAAAATACTAGGAGGAGAAGGGAGGAGAAGCGATTGTGGCATGACCATCCCTCCCGGGGGCAGTGATTTCTCACTTTCCTTCTGTCTCTGTCCCTGATAAGCGCACAGGGCCTATAGCCAAAACCTTAAGAAAAAAATTAACATTTACTTATTTCTTCCATGAGAGAGAGATGAAGACAGAGAGATAGAGATAAACAGCAACAGGCCTCCCAGTAGGGTCTCCCCAGCCTCAGCCAGCTCATATCATAAGCATCCATGCATATCTGGAGTGTTCAGGGAGGCCTAGGGATGTGAACCTAGAACCTTTCCGTGTGGGTCCAGTTGGATTATCACTGCAACCTCTGGTCTCAAAATCCCATATGTAGGGAACCAGTAGTTAGCGTAATGGCTATGTCGCTGGACTCCAATGTAGTTGACTGCAGTTTGCGACCCGGACCCGGTGGCTTAAAACTCACACTGGGCGCGTGTGCGTGCGTGCCCAGGATCCCGAGAGGAGAATGGAGGAGAAGGGACTGCAGCGTGACCATCACCCCTGGGGGGTGATTTCTCGCTTTCTGTCTCTATGTCTCTGTCTGTCTTTCTGGTGAGTGGACGCACCCTATAGCGAAAACCTCTCCAAAAAAATAAAAAATAAAATAAAATAAAATCCCATATGTATAGAATAAAAATGAGATAAATTCCACATATGTTTAATTTCTTGTGTTAGGTTAAGTACATTGACACTAATGTTTAAAAGTTCATGTTGAAGTCTATTGTAATAAGTTTTCAGATTTTAATTTGAGTTTAGGATTTAGAATAAATCAAAGATTATATGTGCAAAACAAAGTTATGCACATATGGCAAGAGATTTTACTTTGACTTTTTAAAAAAAAATTTTGTTTTTTTTTAGAGAGATTTAGGCTATAGGGGTGTGTGCTTGCCAGAGACAGAAAATGAGAAATCATCCCCCGAGGGATGGCCATGCCGCAATCCCTTCTCCTCCATTCTCCTCGAGGGATTTTGGGCACACATAGACACGCGCCCAGCATGAGTTTTAAGTCGTCAGGTCTGGGACTTGAACTTTGGTCAACTACATGAGAGTCCAGCAATATAACCATTACGCCATCCGCTTGCCCCTGCTTTGATTATTTCCACACTCAACTTGGCCCTCGAACAGGTTCCCCAGGACTTGCCTTAATCCCCATTACAAACTCTGTGAGCCAAACTGTCTAACCATAGGCAGACCACAGTGGAGGAGGCAGAGGCTGGTGAGGACTGCAGCAGAGAGCAGTGTGCTCCAAGAGGAGGGACGCTCAGACAACCCACACAGGGAGGCGGCAAATGGGCACAAGCCTTTCCAACCAGCAGGCAATGCGGTATTCAAGAGCCACACACTCTACAATGCCTTCCACATGGCTCCTCTGAAAGGTCAAGTATAATCATTATATTCAGTCCCATAGAGGATTAAAAGTCCTCCCTAGGGAAGGTCAAAATTGCATAGAAAATGGAAAATGTAGTTACCCTAAATTGATATCAGAATAAATTCTGTAACATTTTAGGGGGACTACATCTGCTTGAAGGCACCTACTGTAGCAATTTTTTGTTCACTTACCTAGAATGAGGCTGGTTAACCCCCAATACAAGGTAAGTTTAGGCTTTCATTTCTTATGATCTGAATGACATCTACTCATTATTATCTTTATCCCCGGTCACCAGACTTCTAATAGACTTACTTGTCCAATAAGTTTAGGCTTTCATTTCTTATGAAAGTCACCAGACTTCTAATAGACTTACTTGTCCAGTCCCAGTACCTTCTCTGATTGGAATCATCCTTTATCCATTCCTCCCTTTAACTCACTTGATATACACCCGCCATGTGCTAGGCAAAGTCACCATATTGATAGCAGGGACACAGAGAAGAAAATGGATTTTCATTCTTTATAACCTTGCTCAGGAACAGGACCAGTAGACCATGACTTCCACAAAGGTTCAAAATCACTCATTCCCTGTGAAACCTCTATGACTAACTTACCTGTCTACTAGTTAAAGTATCTCCCTGAATTAGCATTTATTTATTCATCTGTTAAACCCTATCCTGCTAATCTGTGCATTCCTTCACTATAAGAGCTGCATTTCATTAATCTCTGGACCACCAGTATTCACCATTGCTCAGAGTCAAACACATAATAAGTGCTCAGTTAACATGGGAAACGAGTAAACAGCAGGTCGACTGACACAGTCCCTGTCCTCAAGGAGTTTACAGTATAACATTTTAGGCAGACCTATTAATGAAAAGTACCATGGCTGTGTGATAAAGGCTCTAACTAGTAACGTAGAGGATACATACAGCAAAGGTCAGATGGATGAAGTCACTGAGAAAGGAAGAAGGCCTGAGCTGCACTTGATCAGCTGAGAGAAATGTAAAACGACAGTGTGTTCCACACTGACAGGGTAACTCCCCTATGGGGAGTGCTCTCTCACTTCCCCTTGCTCTTCCTTTTTCCAGCAAGTACATGCACCCTCTGATAAATTTTTTAATGAATTTTATGAAGCATTGATAATTTTACACAGGCCCAGTCATGGTGTAGGCAGTAGGTTGCTGCTGTGCAAGGCCAGAGCCACAGGGAGGCCTAGGTTCTATTCCCCGATCAACTGAAAGCAGGCTGGGTGCAGTGGCATGCACCTGTATTCCTAGCTAGTTGGAAGACAAGGCAGAGGACAGCAACATGGTGAGGCCCTGTGAAAAAGACCTCTTGCTATTTTTCCCTCTCACTCTCAAAAAAAAAAAAAAAAAAAAAATCACTCGGACCCATCCCTACCCAGAGTTCTAGTCACTGTGGTACCCCAAGTCCCTTCCATGCCTACTTCCTAACTCAGGAGTTGGAGGGGGGCACCTATAACAAAGGACTCCAGGAAAGAAACCTCTTTCCTCCCCAAGAAAACTGTCCGTTTAAAGTGCTTTCCAAGAAATGGATCCAACCAATGAAAGAAATAAACCCAATGGGCCTGAGAGGCAAATGAAGCGCAGTTGGTTATGTTTGTTTAAAACAAATACTGAGCTAGAGCTATTTATAAAGCACATGGCCACTAGACACATCTACTTGAACCTGTGAGATTTCTACCTTTATCAATATCACATTCAATAAATCATAGCACTTCAGGAAAAAACAGGAATGCTGCTAAATATCTATGAGCTTCAAGATTAAATAATTGATGAATATCAAAGTATTATAAAAATGGATAAAGGCCATGAGGCAATTAGTGAAAGAAATACAGTTCATGGATAAAATATAAATATAGATTCAATAATGACCAAAAAAAAAGGATAACAAAAAAATCTAATAATAACAACAATAAAACCAACTAATAACCAAAGACATGCACACAAAGAACAATGGAATGTCCAAGAATTGATAAAATAAATTATGGTACATCCACATAACATACTACTACTTAGTAAAGTTACATTCTGACACTAAGCCACAGAGAAAACATTAAAACTAAAATCCAAGATGGGAATGTAGGATATAAATAATACAGATTCAATTTTGTAAAATAAAAGAGAGAAAAATACAAAACAGATTAACACTAAAGGTAATTTTCTTCAAGTAATTAAATTAGAGATGACGACTTACTTTCTTTTGTACTTTTAATTTTTTTTCAAAAATTTCCATAATAATTTTACTAATTTTACAGTCAGAGTAATTTTTAAAATAAACACTATGATTTAATGATTCTAAACTTTTTTTAAGGTTTTTGCCATATGGTGTGTGCTTTCATGGAAGAGGAGAGAGAAAGAGAGACAGTGAGAGGGAAAGGGAAAAATCACACCTCTGGGGGATGGCCATGCCACAATCCTTTCTCCTCCATTCTCCTCCTAGGATCCTGGGCATGTGTGCACCCATGCCTGGTGTGTCTCAAGCAGCCATATCCAGGACTTGAACCATGATTGACCCTGTGGGAGTCCAGTGCTGTAACCACTATGCTACCTGCTGGCCCCAATTCTAATCTTCTCGAGGGAAGAGCTTGTGTTCGTTTATCTTACACTATGAGCTCTATAGTTATTTGTTGGATGGATAGATGAATGAACAAATGAAGAACAAACAGGACTTTAAATTTAGATATACTTCCACTATACTACTTTTACCTTCTCCCCCACAGACTATTTCTTCTGTTGTTGTTAAAGTTTTTGTCATAAGGTGTGTGTGTTCACTAGAGAGACAGACAGAGATAGTAAGAAGGAAAGTGAGAAAACATCCCCCAGTGGGGATGGCCACATCACAATCCCTTTTCCTCCATTTTCCTTCTGGGATTTTGGGCACACACACACCCGTGCCCAAAATAATTTTCAAGTCATCAGGTCTGGGACTCAAACCATGGTTGAACAAGTAGGAGACCAGTGCTTTAACCACCACACCACCTGCTGGTTCCACACTACAAATATTTTTTGATCTTTTATTTATTTCAGTATTTTATTATCATTGTTATTATCATTTATTATTTTTTAAACATTCAATCGTTATACATCATTTGGCTTGTAAAGAGAATTTACCCAACATGAAACATACTTCAAACCAGTCCAGTTGAGAATACTATGCATGTTATCATCAACAGGTAATAAATAAACCATTTCTGTGTCCCACAAATATCTTGCATCTCTATTTTTTTCCCCTGATTTCCTTCCCTATACTCCACTGCAGATACTTTCTTAATAGCTAAAATCAGATCCTTAGACGACTTCTTGAGTGTCAGGAAAAGAAACTACAAAATCTCAGAAAACCCAGAGCATCTGTATTGACCAAAGAGTTGCAGATAAACTCTGCTGCTCTTTTATATGAGTCAGAGTGCAGCTGCAACAGGGCATATTACATTCCTGCACTTTTAGAAATTCACGTGAGACCCAGAAGTGGTGGTGGGGCACTGCTGTGCAGTGCTAGAGCATATGAAAAGGGCCTTGGGTAGACCTGTACATGCCAGGGAGGCCATGGAAGACTGGAGGCATGGTGAGATCCTGTTTGTCTGTCTGTCTCTTTCTCTCTCCATAAATAAACTTAAAAAAAATTCTACTTTCAACTTGAGCCATATAGGAACAAAGCATCCTCAAGTTTGAGATAGAGGCAGTGAAGGAATAGCAAGAAAGAGAGAGAGCAAGGGGAAAAACTGGTTTCTGGTAGGCTGGAAACAAAACTGTACATTATAATTTAGCAGAAATACATACTTTACTTTAGGTTTTAGAGAAAGCACTTTTTTGGTTGTGATTTTCCTTCTCAAATTTTCTTATTTTTTCCCAAGTAAATCCTATCTACCAAAGTGGCAGTTTTCTACTGTCAGTATCGGAAAGACACATAATCACATAAGCAAACAGAATTAGGTCAATTTCAGGCACAATCATAGAGTAAGCTCTTAGAGACTAAATTGAGTTTATTTCACACAAGAAATGAAAGCTACAAGCTTTAATAAAAGCCTGGGAAACATGTCTTGGGCAAACTAATTAAGAAATTAGTTTATATCCTCACTAAAGGTCATTAAAATGCAGGTCATCTGATTATATTAGGAAATTGTTAATGATCTTTAATGACTTCTGAATATACTTGAAATCATTGAAGGCATTCGGGCCTTCAATCACAATTTCCTGAAAACTTTAAACTTAAATAATTTTAAAGGTTATTATCACATCTCAATTCCCACAAAGACGGTGTTATATAACTACATATACATATATGAGAGGCACTGGTAACTTCCCTAAGTACAACAGAATTATCTTGAAACAAAAGGATGAAAAGGACTTTGGGATTAAAACTACTCTGGCTACACACACATTAAGCACTTGTGGTTTTAAATTCCCAAGTAATAAATCAGTAGCATTCCCCAAAGAGGTGCCACATGTTTCTAGAGACTGAATACAAGGAAATCTTAAAAAAAAAAAAAAAAAAAAGTATTACAAATTGTGTTCATGGACTAGTGAAAGCCATTAAAAATAATATTTTGTCTTACCTGACAATTCTTGTTTTACAAATGAAAGCACAGCCAGGTAAACTTGACAATCAGCTATGATTATCTGCCTCTGTAACCGATCAACCATAGAGGGGGCAGATTTTCGGACATCAACCTGTTCAGTGGGAAGAAAGTACACACCAGTCGATTGTGCCTCCAAACTATTGTTATTATGCTGTACAAAACAAGTTCACAGAGGAATGGTGAAACAAGGCAGTAACTCAAAGCTAAAGCCAAATATATACTGAGTCTCAAAGTTTTATAATTTCAGTAGGTCTAGCTTTGTTTTGTTAACAATAGAAGTACGATGCTAAAGCGCATTGTAACTCAAAAGAAAATAATCTAAGTGTTAAAAACTGAATTTACAGAAACATGGAAGTCAACATAAAACTTTAGTTTCACTTTTGTAAAAACAATGCAAGTTCTTATACAAAATAAAAACTATTATAGGCACAATGCCTCCCCTAGATAACCTGAAAAGTCATTTCATGGCCATCCACTTTCAGGTAGGACTAATGTTAGGCTACATTCTTTTAGAGTGTATAAGAGAAAAGTGAGTGTTGGCAACGGAATACCTTCTCATTAAGGAAATTATACCCTGGAATTAAAAATTAGCTCTGAATAAACCACAACTAGTACTTAAAATGTAAGCTACATAAATAAAAATGCAGAGTCAAATCACTTTTTACACAATACTAATCTTTATCACAAATAATGCTTTTAAAATGAAGAAAAATAACTGTGGAATAGAACACTCTATTAGGTTTATTATTTTATAGGGTAGAAAATGGGAGGTAAAGCTAGTTGTTTTAAGATGTTAATTGAATGATGATATGAGAACAACTGGTGTCATGCAGACTGGCACCATGTGATTTTTCTGATCTTTTGGGGCTGATTTTGATAAATACATGTGACTTTTTTTAACCTAACACTGCTCTGCAGTATCAGCAACAGCACACAGCTAGCATGTTCGTATGCTAATTTTTTATTGCTATGCAAATAAGCCTCATGGAACTGCATTTCTGTATGTGTCTGAAGGTCACCATGTTTGTTCAGAATGGCCATGCTCTACAAAGAATGATTACAAGAACCCTGCAACTGGAGGCAGAAATGCCAGTTTGTTTTAGGCAAATAAGATAGTGGCTGACTTGAGGAGATGGCAGTGAGGATGAAGTGGATGCATTCAAGAGGTTTTTCAGAGAATGAGTCAGCAGGACTTGGCCAGTGGCTGGGTGATGGGTTTGGAGAGGAAGGAAGCAGGGGAAATGCTGACCCTTCTGGAGCATTGGGAACAGTACTCCTGGTCTCCCAGTGGCTTCCTCCTGGTAGACATCAGCAGTGTGAGTTGAGGTGAAATATCCTCCTATGACTGCTTCCTGGGAAGGGGACTGACAGGAGGAAGCAGAAGAAAAGGCAGGGTGGCTCTGAGGACTGGCTTGTCAGGAACATATGTGATATATATGAGACCCTTGGGCATGCCAAGAAATACCAGGGGGTAGGAGGTGCCTCTCCAGAACCTAGAACTTTTGCACTGAAAGGTGAAGGTAATATCAGAAAAAGTGGATTATGATACTTTTGTGACTTTGCAAGGGTGATGAGGCCTGGGGAAATTGAGTAAACAGTTGAACTGCAGAATTATGCCAAAGTCCAATTCTACTGTTCCTCAGCTAGTGGCGCGTCGTATATGCATCACCTATACGAAAGCCTCATGACAGCAGCCCTTGCCACACAGCCTGTTATGGAAGAAGATACCAAAAAGACACCCAAAAAACACCCACTGCATGACTCCAAGGACTGAAAGAAGCTGCTATTGTTTTAAGAAACATATTTTATGGGTGAATAATATTCCAAAGCATACATGTACCACATCTTTTCAATCCAGTCATTTGTTCTTGGGTACTTGAGTTGATTATACATCTTAGCAAGTGTTAAAGAGTACTGCAAAAGCCTTCATACTCCTGCTTGATTTCTATAAACAAATCGTGACCTCATTTAGATAAGGTTGCTTTTTTTTTTTTTTTTTCCTTTTTTCTAGCTTACAGCCAATCACAGCAGCTAGGCTTCGGTCAGTCATGGGCATCAGGCATCCCACCTTATAAACCGTGTTAATGCAGACAAACTTCAGAATGTAATCAAACCAAATAGTTTTTCTACCTCATTTCTTAACTTTTGTTTTTGTATGTCACTTTTCCATTCCTGTACATGTAACTTTCCTTTTGCAGAACTTAAATACTGTATGACCATGAGGCTACCTGAAGTTGCTCAGAAGTTAGTCTGGCAAACTGCCTGATTTGAATTGTGTTAATATATGCTCAATTATGGGACCAGCAGTTAGCGTAATGGCTATGTTGCGGGACTCTCAAGTAGTCGACCGCGGTTTGTGTCCTGGACCCGGTGGCTTAAAACTCACGCCAGGTGCGTGTGCGTGCGTGCCCAAGATCCCGAGAGGAGAATGGAGGAGAAGGGACTGTGGCATGGCTATCCCCCCTGGGGGGGTGATTTCTCACTTTCTGTCTCTCTGTCTCTGTCTGTCTGGCGAGTGCACGTGCCCTATAGCAAAAACCTCTCCAAAAAAAAAAAGATATGCTCAATTAAACTCCACTAAATTAAATGATCTAGTTTATTTTTTTTCTAACACAAGTGTCAATGATGCTGCAATGAACATGAGTGTGCAAGTATTTTTCTGACTATTTTTCCACCGAAGAGTGGGATAATTGGGTCAAATGAAAGTTCTATTTGTAAGTTCTTGAGGAATATCTGGATTGTTTTCCATAGTGGCTATACTGACATTCCCACCAGCTAATAATAGTGAAGACAAGTATAGATACCAGACACTATAGGGCAGGAGAGTGGATAGCAGGGGTAGATGGGAGGGATTTAGGGAGGTGGGACTTGACAGACATATGAATATAAAATTCTCTGATGGAAAAGACATATACGGCAATTTCCTTGATTTGATGGTAACATAATGTATGTTTTTGAAAAACCACTGTGTGTGTTATGGAGATGTACAATTAAATGTAAAAAATAAATTAAAATGTAAATTAACTTAAAAAGAAAGATATTTTATGTAACTAGAAGCTACTGGAAACATCTAGTGGTTTATTATTTTTTCAGTCATATTCTAAAAACTAAAAAACGAGCAAATGACTGATATTCTGAAAAGTGACATAGTTCATAACTAAGGCTATAGGACTTACATTCTTCTTAATTTTATTCTTGATTGTTTCAATTACTCCAGCCTCTTCACTTTCACACAGCTTTTCCGTTGTTTTCAAGTCATCACATGCCAACTGCATCTTTTCTTCTTCAAATGTCATCATGGCATTCTTCCAAGAAAGAAAGAAGGAAGGAATAACTCAGTCAGCAGTCTGAAATTATGGGCCAATTTATTACAATGAAAGTTCAAATTAGAAAAAGAAATCACTTAAATTACTTTAAGAGTAAGAGAATCAAAATGTTACAACAGACCCTATACATTTAAAGAATTAAAGAATTATATACCATATTTGAGGGGTAGGGGTAATCTACTGAACCTCTGTGAACACCTGTGACTTTTACCAAGTAGAACTGAGACTCCTGAGATGAATGGGCTACAGGAGCAGACACAGAGTCATCACAGGATCCCTGGTTCTCGGAAGGACCTAATGAACTTACAGTGTCTAGCTCTCATCCCCTCTCAAATCCAGCCAACCCTACCTTGGCATTCATTCTAGGTCCCCCCCGGATGACTCTAACCTACTTCTCCATTCCAGCCAAACCTGACTGTGGTCCTCTTTGCCCAAGACTCACCACTACACTCTCCTCTTATTTGGGTACTAGTGATACAGTATTAATAGTGCCTGCTACCGTTCCCAGTGACGTAAGGAACTAAGTAGTCTTACAAACAGTAGGCCTGAACATTGTGTTGTATTAATTAGTGATAAAAAGAAATAAATAGCTTGAATGAAAACCTTCTTCCCTGAAGACTGGCCTGGTACCTATAGTCTGCTCATTTAGTTTGTCTTCTAGTCCATATTTATGCAATAATGTAAAAGAAATATTTATTACTCAAAGTCAGATCTCCTGCACTCGCCAACACAGTTTTAATTTTTGAAGGGGCTTCAGATACATTTTTATTCTAAAGAGGATTTAGGTTGAGAAAAATATAATACTTTAAAAAGTAAGATAAGAACATTTTATTTTTTAAATTAGGGAAGAGAGTAATGTTATTTCATAGGCATTGGTTAATAGGCAAAAACTTTACTTTGGTTTTAAACTCTAAAAGATTTCCTACATTATTATATCGATACAGCTGGTAGCCACTAACAGATATTACCATCTGGAAATAATGTTTAAAATTTAGACAGGGTCTCACTGTTGTAAGCCTCCTTCCTCAGTCTCCTACGCAGCTATGACTACATGATACTACCGTCATATAATGGCAGGCACTACGTTATATATCTGTTTCCTTCATACTAATACCTCTTTTGATATCAACTTACCAAAAAACTGACAAAGCTGGCTCCGAAACTCATTAATGGGCTATGATTTCTGTAAAGGAAACAAAATAAGATTGTTTCTATTATAAAATTTTATTTTAAAAGCATTTGATATATCAGAAACATTACATAATTATTAATTTTTTTAGGGCGCATGCGCTCACCAGAAAGACAGAAAGAGAGACATAGAAAGTGAGAAATCACCCCTCAGGGAGGATGGCCACGCTGCAATCCCTTCTCCATTCTCTCAGGATTCTGGGCACACATGCACATGTGCCCAGCATGAATTTAAGCCACTAGGTCGGAGATTGGAACCACAGTTGACTAAATGGGAGTCCACTGACGTAATCATCACCCCATCTGCTGCTCTCCATAATTCTTTTATTAGATAGAAGAAGGTAAGGCTAAAAAGCAGATTAAGTTAACCAAAGGAAAAAGTAAAAGAGGCAAAGGGGTTTACGGCTCTACCTGGCAGCATGGAAACTGTCCCTGTTTTTTCAAAGCAAGGTGGATAATAAAGTCAAACTATAACAGAGGCTGTCCTAGGCAACTTTTTAAATGAGGTCATTACATTGTTAACATTGTAAATATAAAGAGGCAATAGAGGAAACCCAAGCTTTGCAAAAACATGGCCAAAGAAAAATAGTTATGATTCTTTTTGTTAAAGAATTATTTACCTAATTCTATTTATTTTTATTATCATTATTTTAGTTTGACTGGAGATAGAGGGAAAGTGAGAAAACAAGCTGCCAGGTCCAGGACTCAAACTGTGGCTGGCCATGTGTAGTCCAAAGCCTTAACCACCATGCCACTTGTCAGCTCCATGACTCATTTTTAAAAGAATTATTTGTTTTACTTTATTTATTATTATTTTTAAATTTGACCAGAGAGAGAGGGAAGGGGAAAGTGAGAAAACAAGAAGCCAGGTCCAGGACTCAAACCATGGTAGGCCATATGGGAGTCTAGCATCTTAGCCACCACACCACCTGCCAGACCCTATGATCCATTTTTAAAATGCAAAACTTGTTCAAAACTTTACAAATATAAAAGTAGTATCATTTCTAGAGTGGACCAAAGGGTTCCCCACGGAGGCAGACCTCACAAACTCACTTACCCATCTAAAAATGATAAGAACACCCTGTCAGCCCCTCCCTCACTGTAATATACACATTTTATCCAATTTTATAGTAAGCCAAAAATAAAACCAAACCAAACCAATGTCAATTTAGTATAAATGGTGAAAGAATACAAACATTCCACTTTGAATGTTAAAATACAAGATCTAGATCTCTATAAATTGCACTAGAAGGAAAAGCAAGTTATAATTGCCTTCTTAAATAAATAATTTCACTGATTTTTATCACACAAATAATATGTGGCAACTATAAAAATATGCACGCAACAATTTATTTCATCAATCCCATACTAGAAATATAGCTTGGGTCTAAAGTGAGTATGTGTGTGTGTGTTTATGAGAGAGCAAACATGGACATCTGTATGTACACATACACATATGTATGTACACATACACATACACATGTTTTGCTTGCTAAACATGTTGTACATATATTTTCACATACAAGGTCAAATTGTTAGGGGTAGCTTTTCTGAGTCAAAGAGTATACACATATATTTTTCTCTTGGAGTGGTGTGTGTGTATGGACTCACGTACGTGAGAGAGAGACAGAGATACCTGGGACTCAATTTATGCAGATTTAACCTTCTGCTATCATGTTTTTTCACTCCCACTTAATAGGATACTTAAACATACCCTCAAAAGAGGGTGGTCAACTCATTTGTGTTGTACCCCAATCTAGCACTCATACAGATAAACCTAGGTCAAACAGCAAGCACATTCTTGTGAAGTCTCTGTCATCTCTAGTCTGCCCCAAACAGATGTTAGTTCTTCTTTCACAGCCCTACATGGACATAACATTATGGGCTCCTACCCTACTACATCAGACATTCTGCGAACACAAACCAGCAAAGGAGCAAAGGACATAAAACGCCGCCTTTAGGGAACAGACACATTTCCATCAATGCTGATTACGATGGCTTTGCTCCTCTTTTCCCTTTCCTTCCTTACATGTTAACCATTTTGCCGTTGGAGAAACGAAAAGAGCTGAAACCATGGCCTAATGTTGCTACATTTGCTTCTTGTTCCTGACTAAAATTAGGCTTCTGAGAGCTGTGGCAATTAATTATTCATGGTACCTAGCCTAGCCCTTAATACTTCACATACCATCTGATCATTTTAGTGGGGGAGAAAAAGTGTAGAAAGCAGCCCAACGGAAACACTTCTCCCTCCTTGAAGTGCCATCTGTAAGCCCACAGCACCGGGTGCATCAGGCTTGGTAATGTACTGCTCGGTGAGCAGGGGTCCCTCGTGTGCAGCTCATCACTCAGTGTCAGAAGAGCTTAATCTATCAAGGGCATTGTTTAGTGTACTCCACTTGGAAACTCAACATACTTCATGTGCTTCAAAATTTATCATATCTTTACCAATTTTGGCTATTTGTTTTGGGTATCTGGATATGCTCCCAAAGAGTACAAAGATCATTATGTCAAAACTAGTGCTCGGGGAGGAGGAAGAAGAGGCTCCCAGTTCATTTCAATATTGATCATTTTAGGAACCAACAGACAATGGCCAGTCAAGTAGGGGGTGAAGAAATTGCATGAAGGTGGAATATACAGGTAAGCATTAGAACCAAAATGGAAAACTCTCTAAATTCCAGAAAATATTAATTAAAGAGAACATAAACATGCATACATATTTGCTGATATTGAAAAAACAATGGTAAGGATAGAATGAAGCTTTTTTGCATGTACCTTGTTTTGTAGATTGGACTTTAGAACCATATAAAGATTACACATAATGATTATAGTAAATAAAATTTAATAATGCAATCTCTGAAAAACGAAAGTAAAATGAACTAGATGTACCTAAATGCAAAAGCCAGTTGGTAAGCTAACCATACAGAATGGTCCTGTTTCAGACATAGTAATCTGACAGAATGTTCTTATCATGAAATACCCTTCCTAATAGACCTCAAAAGATGCCCCTCCAAAATACTAATCAAAGTTAAGGAATCATATTCTTACTGAATAAGAGGACATTATTGTGTGGTGCTGGGTGTGTAGCTCGTGCTAAAGCAATAATGAAGTATGCTGGTGTTTACTGAGACCCAGAATTTTGTGCACAGGAAAAAGGAAGAATGTGATCTCACTACATATCTTTAGGGGAAACAATATATTTTCCCAGCTTTAGCCACTGAAAAAGCATAGGAAAAAAATGTCAGTGGTGTTGTGCATAACTATCATCCTCTCCAAATACGTTAAGGAAAAAAAGAGGCCATAGCCCAGTTAATTTGATGAAATGGCTGATTCCAGGTTAGGAGAAAGCAATGATTAACAAGGCCCTGAACTATCTTGTCATAGTACAAAATAAGAAAGCTTAAAAAAATACTAGTGTCGGGGACCAGCAAGTGGCGTGATGGTTAAGGTGCTGGATACTCCCACATGGCCGACTGTGGTTCAAGTCCCGTACCTGGTGGCGTGCTTTCCTACTTTCTGTCTCACTCTTTCTATCTCTCTCTGGTCAAATTAAAATAAATGAATGAATAAATAAAAATAAATAAAAACAATTCTTAAAAAAAATACTAGTGTCTTGAAGAGGTCCCCACTAGCCAAAGATGAAACAATTTGATCACTCTTAAACAGTAAAACAGAGCAATGGATTAAAACATCAAATAAATTTCAGCCATGAGGTCATAAAGGCGTTTTAAAAAGTTTTTTTTGAGGACCAGCAGTTAGCGTAATGGCTATGTCGCAGGATTCTCATGTAGCCAACCGTGATTCGGGTCCCAGACACAGTGACTTAAACTCACATTGGGTATGTGTGCGTGTGTGCCCAAGATCCCGAGAGGAGAATGGAGGAGAAGGGACTGCAGCACGGCCATCCCCCTTGGGGTGTGATTTCTCGCTTTCTGTCTCTCTGTCTCTCTCTGTCTTCCTGGCACGTGCACATGCCCTATAGCAAAAACCTCTCCAAAAAAAATTTTTTTTTTTTTTGAGAATAAGTGGTAGAGGGTGGCTGAGAGGGGCAAAAGAAAGAAACACTTAACAGCAAAATAATGTAAAATTCTCTGTTGAAAAAAATAGTTCTGTAACTTTTGCTTTGTAAAACTAAAATAATAGAGAGAGAGAAATACCTTTTTATGGCAGAGGGTGCGTGTGTGCACCGAGCAAGAGAAAACCTCTCAATGAATCCTGGTTGTACCACGATTCTTTTCTCCTTCATTTCTCCACCCTGTGAGGATCCTGGGCAGGTGCATATGTACCCAGTAGGTTTTTTGTTTTTTGGGTTTTTTTAGAGCTTTTTGCTATAGGGCACGTGCGCTCGACAGACAGACAGAAAGAGAGAAATCACCCCCCAGGGGGGATGGCCATGCCACAATCCCTTCTCCTCCATTCCCCTCTCAGGATCTTAGGCACGCACGCACATGCACCCGGCGTGAGTTTTAAGCCACCAGGTCCAGGACTCAAACTGCGTACCTGGTGGCGTGCTTTCCTACTTTCTGTCTCACTCTTTCTATCTCTCTCTGGTCAAATTAAAATAAATGAATGAATAAATAAAAATAAATAAAAACAATTCTTAAAAAAAATACTAGTGTCTTGAAGAGGTCCCCACTAGCCAAAGATGAAACAATTTGATCACTCTTAAACAGTAAAACAGAGCAATGGATTAAAACATCAAATAAATTTCAGCCATGAGGTCATAAAGGCGTTTTAAAAAGTTTTTTTTGAGGACCAGCAGTTAGCGTAATGGCTATGTCGCAGGATTCTCATGTAGCCAACCGTGATTCGGGTCCCAGACACAGTGACTTAAACTCACATTGGGTATGTGTGCGTGTGTGCCCAAGATCCCGAGAGGAGAATGGAGGAGAAGGGACTGCAGCACGGCCATCCCCCTTGGGGTGTGATTTCTCGCTTTCTGTCTCTCTGTCTCTCTCTGTCTTCCTGGCACGTGCACATGCCCTATAGCAAAAACCT